AACTTACGGTTGTCAGAAAATTATGGAAAGAGACTATGACATAGTCTTTCTAAAATTTTCTGAAGCCATCTGAAAACATCGAAAGCATGCGATTTAGTACTTAAAGAATTCTGAAAAAACATTGTTGAATTTTATTTTTATGGCATCTTTAAATGTTACTTATTTTAATCATTTTGATTAACAATTTTTTCTTGGCTGTATTAAATTCTTTTGTATATAAAATCTACTCACAATCACACACTTTAATTAGTTGAACTCGGTTGAATGGCGAACAAATACCGCCACAACAATTGTGTTTTGGTGCAATAAAAATCGATGACCCAAATTGTATGTAATAGTCAAATACCCATGTGTACATACCATATACTTGTTAATTAGGGTTACAAAATTTCTCGGATAATTTCCTTCAGAAAAATTAAGTTTATAATTTAAAATATATGTATAAAACGTCAAAAATTATGTCTTCTTGACCCTTTTGATTTATAATTTCACTTAAGGATCAAATTCTCTATTATACTAAGAAACTTCCTTGTTTTATCGAAAGTATGTATGTGTGTATATGTACAACCCTATTGTAGAAACACTTCGCAAATATAAATATCTACATACATACTCGAAGTTTTGTATGTTTATATTTCTGTACATTGTTAAAGTATACAAATATACTCATTATATAGAATGAATGTGATCCTATATGTGCACATCTGTACTGAAAAGTGAAAGTATTTTGCAAAAAAGGACACAAAAAAAAAAAACAACATTGATATCAACCTAAAATGAATGAATGGATTTTTTTCATTTGCTCATTCACACAAAATCAATTGAAAATCCAGTTTAAATATAATTAAAATTCAGTGCTAAAAACATGGTGATGCATTAACACAAGTCTGTCTGTTAAAGTGCATCAAATAATTTGCTTAATGTGAATGAGTTCGAGTAGGAATTTGTGTGTGTTTGTTGTCACTCATTAGGTGATCAAATAATGAATTCTGTCCTTACTGCTCATTATGGCAGTCAACGGCAATTATCCATTGAAATTTGAATATAACTCTTTTTCGTTATTAATTAAATTTTCAAGCATCATTTTATTAACAAAACCAATGTGTGTAATACATAGGTATTATAATATATTTGTAGCAATAAGGAAAATCTACATATTTAATTTAAGTAAAAATCTACGTGTTGTAGAGGTTCTTCTTCTTGCAAGAATTGCCATGATCAAGGGTTCATATGTATGTCTTATTTCATCTCAAAAGCTGTCCTCATAAAAATTGGGAAAGTTCCTTTTGAAAGGGCTATTACCACTATCCCCCATATGATGACGATGGTATTCACAAAATCATTAGCTACTATAGGTCGTGGTGGTGTATTCAAATCCCAAGAGACAGGATGTTATAATCAGCTCACAAGAATACACTTAAGCTAACTCCTTAAAAAATGTGAAAGTGCCAATTAGAAAGGCTGTTACCACTAGCTACGACAAGGCTACAAAAGTATTAACTATGGTACCTATATCACCATTAGCCACCACAGGTAACATGGATCAGTCAACTCGTAAAGGCGATAAAGGTTATCAGCAACTCACAGGAGGACATATTAGCTACATATATCTTTCGAAATTGGGAAGGTACCCATTAGAAGTGCAATTAGACCAGTTCTAACCTACGTTTATTTAATCTGGTGCACTGATTTGGACAAAACTAGTAACATAATACCATTACTGAAAGTTCAGCGAACATATTCTTTGAATGTAAGTGAGAGAATTTAAATGTATACTGGACATATACACAAACTTCACAGATGGCCGATCATACACCAGAAATAGAAATTAACATTAACTGTAGGATGCTATCCCTTATAGGAGATCGAAGTCAAGCAGAACTATATAGCAAACTTCTGAGGGTATGGATTTGTGAATTAAAACCTAAAACCAGGACACAGAACTATACTACCACCTTTCTAATCACAACACTAGCTTCCAGGATTGAAATGAATATGGAGCCAACAGAGGCTACAATATTATGCGATATCCTGAAGGCAATTTGGGATATATCAGCTGATAAGATTAAAACCAATACTGTATTGGACTGTAAGAGAACTGTAACCAGAGATGTCAACTATTTATAATCAATTATGAAGTATCACGAAAAAACCCTAGATAGCGCCAACAATTTATAAGGAAAAACAACTCATGGTTTAGTACGATATTTTTACGAATAACCTAAATATAATTTTGGGAATCAAAATGAGTCTTAACGTTGGCAAGTATGCACTTCAAATTTATTTCCAAAGTGAGTAATTGTAGAAAAGAACTTTTGGTCGAAATGAAGCATTCATCACTAGTCTGAGCCTAAGTTTAAGCAACAAGTACATGTGACTTGCCGTCGTCTGTAAAAACCGATGATGTGTCCAAAAGTGTGCAATTTAATCTAAGAAAATCGACTCGCCATCGATCTCAATAACTCGGACAGTTGAAAAGGATGCTGTAAACATCATATCATGAAGATATACACCTAGTCTGCGACCAGTCCTGTTATTTTATTTAATTATTTTTTCTAGACAACTTTTTTCTTTTTTAACAACAGTTTTAATGTTCTAAATTGTGCGTTCCACCCAAAATGGAAATTTTGAGTTTCTTCATCGATACAGACTTCTTTTGAATTATCAAAAATGATAAATTTAATGTGAAAGCGCTAAATTGGCAACCCTGGCTATAACTGTTTACTCTTCCAGTGGTAAACTACAAATATCTTGGAAGCCACATAATTCCAGACATTATATCCCTCAGGAACACTGATTTATAAATTCTGAGAAATTACGTCCAGGAAATGGAATTTCTGAGGATTAAAGTCTAATCTATATATATAAAAGAGTAGCATTACTGACTGACTGATTCATCATCGCACAGCCCAAACGGCTGAACCTAGAATAATGAAATTTTGACAGTAGATGTATTTTTGGTTATGTACATCCACTATGTAGATCCACTAAGGAGGGATTTTTGAAAAGTGGTACATTTAGGGGTAAAAAAGGGAAAAACGGGTAAAGCAGGTTTTCTTAATTATCTTAAATAATATTAGTGATACAAGAATGCACCTGTATCTACTCTTAAAATAAGCAGATGGGTGTCTGGTACTTTTTTGAAATTCGTGCTCTTAAGGGATGAAAATGTGTAACAAGGTGATTTTGGTACCTTTTTTGGCCCTTTACAACTTTTTAACTAATAAACAAAATGAATTTTTTTTTAAATATTTTGAATATATCTCCCAAAATTAGAAAATACCTGTTTCGTACTTTTTTAAAATTCGATCCTTTTTGGGTGTAAAAGGGAGAAAGCTGTATTTTTGGTACTTTTTTTAAAACATTAAGAAAACTTTTTCGATTTATTGAAGTATTCTTATTAAATTACGGACTAACTCTGTTATATTTGTTGAAATAAAATTTTTGCTATTTCACTGGGAAAAAAAGTACCAAAAAGGGAAAAACGGGAAATTTCATTTTATTCAAACTCATTGAGCCAATTTTTATAAAATTTGAAAAGGTAGTTTATTTACTCACACAAAATAAGCTATTGATATATTATTTTGGAAATCGAGTACTAAGGACTATATGGGACCAAATTCGAGTAAATTTTTTGAAAGTACAATTTTTCTGGAACAAGTGAACGCAGATTTGAATCGTTTGAGTTTTATCTGTGATATAGAGAACATTTTACTATTTTTATTAGTACTTTCCTCTAAGGTGGAATTTATATCTATTAATTCAAAACACATGATTATTAAACATACACGGTCCTCATTGAATAAGATTCTTTAAGAGAGAATTTTTAGTACTTTTTATCTCATAAATTGTACTTTTTGAATTTTCTAAAATATTCAACCTAGGAACATAAATACATGGTCTTGACTGAGTAATATTTTTTGGTACTATTCCATTCTTCAAATGGTACCTTTTGGATTCTCTATAATGGTTAACCGGAAAACCGTGTGTCATGTCCTTATTAAATGAGAATTTATTGAGAGAGATTTTTGCACTTTTTCGTTTTTCCTATGGTACTTTTTTATATTTTTACAATATTGAACATAGAAATATAATATTTATAATGTAGGGACCTTAGTGAATGAGAATCTACTGAAAGGGACTTTTTCATTCATCAAATTAAATTTTTTGAATTGTATATAATATTGAATACAGAAACACAAAACTTTTGATGAAATGAGAATCTATAAGAAGTATTTTATCGTACTTTTTTTCAAATAGTACTTTCGAAATTTTCTATAATGTGGAAGCTAAACGAATGAAACTTATAATCGAAGCTTCTTACTGAATGCGAATTTATTCACATGATATTGAACGTAAAAAACTGAAACATTAAAAATATTTTTAATCAATTTTAATTTTCTATAAAAGTAAAAAAAATTTTGTATGTATTTAATTTCGGTTAGGGTAGCGAAGCACCCAGGGTATGCTAGTTATTTATATAGGGGTTTTCTATATAAGGTTTTTCCACCAACTTTATCCATGAACAGGATGCCCGATAGGGGCCTAAACTAAATCACGGTAAAATAATTTGGCATGAGTTTTAAAACTGAATACTTGTTGTATTCTATTCCGTGAATAATTGGCTAAAACATTTAACGATTTAGAAAACAAATAAAATGGGCTAATACTGTTTACTTTTATAGTTGTTTATGTTTATTTAGTTTTCACTGGATGGCATTTGCAAAATATGTAGGTATACATGCATACATACATATTTCAAATACCTGAAATACGTTATCTTTTGGAAATGGTATAATAATAACTCTGGAAGTTTATAGCAATTTCTGATAATAACATTTATTCAATTTTACATATTTTTGTACTTTCATTGCAATTTAATATTATATCAAATCTAAAATTATTATCGCTTTTTCTATTATCTGCACAACTGATTGATAAGTGTCAAACAACACCATTTATCAATATTGTTCGGTGGGTTTAATTTATAAAACATTTGAACATTTGAAGAGTTACAATAATATTTGAAATCAATATACGTAATTCGAATAGTCTTCTGGCAGACATTTAACAGTTAAGACTTTAATACTGGTAGAAACAATTATTTAAACTGATAAAAAGTTTTAAACGCATTAGTTAAAAAACTATTTGAAAAGTATTTAATTTAATTTTAACGGATTGAAAATATGGTGCCACCTCCTCAACCACAGTGCGGTCCACCATGTCAACCTCCACCATTTCAACCGTGTCATCCACCACCTCCGCCGCACCACCATCATCATCGTCCAGGAATAAAAATTGAAATTATTCCCCCATGGCGACGTCGTCATCATCATCCACCACCGCCACCTCCTGCTTCTCAAGTAGTCGTAGTTATGCCGCCTGGTCAAAATCAACAACCATCATATCCACAGGGTCAACCAGCTGGTTACTATGTACCGCCATCAGGACCTCCACCAGCTCATTATCACAACCCGAATTATTAATTGTTCCATAAATAATTACCACGAATTTCTATTTATATGCCTAAAGTTTATACTTTGATTCAATAAAATACATGTTTATTTAGATATAGGTTAACTGAAAAAATTGCGTTTTATGTATATTTTTATACCCTCCACCACCATCAGTGGTGATAGAGGGTATATATAACTTTGTCATTCCGTGTGTAACACCAAGAAATATTCATCTGAGACCCAACAAAGTATATATATTCTGGGTCCTTATGAAATTCTGAGTCAATTTAGCTATGTCCGTCTGTCCGTCCCTCCGTCCGTCTGTCTGTCTGCGTAAAACACGCTCACGTTAAAACGAAGCAATGTAATTTAACCAAATTCACCCAAAATATTCATTGTTATCCGGTACAGTTTGGTATTAAAAATGAGCAAAATCGGTTCACATCGGGAAAAGTTATGAATCAAAATTTGAAACAACCTCGAAAAAAATAAGCATTTTTTACACATTCTAATGTATTTTTCTCCAAAACTATGCAAGATAATTCCATGAAAATCACCATACATTCGTTTCTACACCAGATCTTGATTCGTGCAGAAAATTGCCAGAATCGGTCCACAATTTCATATACCTCCCATACAAAAGTACATATTCCCGGAAAATGGGTTTTTCGTTAATAACTTCCATCACAATGACGATATCTTCACAAAATTTTACAAATTAAAATCTTATGTCAATAGAATTTTTTCGGAAAAAAATTTTCTGGATCGGTCCATAATTGGACATAGCTCCCATACAAGGTCCCCTCCCGAAAATCACTTAAACGCGCATAACTCATTACTAAATTAAGATATCCATACAAAATTTGGTATAAGTATTGCCCATATGCACAGAAATATTACTGTGAAAGTTTTTTCCGATCGGTCCATAATTGGACATAGCTCCCATACAAGGTCCCATCCCGAAAATCACTTAAGCGCGCATAAATCACTACTTAATTAAGATATCCATATAAAATTTGGTATAAAAATTGCCCACATGCATAGAAATATTACGGTGAAAATTTTTTTTGATCGGTTCAAAATTGGTCATAGCTCCCATACAAGGTCCCCTCCCGAAAATCACTTAAACGCGCATAACTCATTACTAAATTAAGATATTCATAGAAAATTTGGTATAAATATTGCCCATATACATAGAAATATTACTGTGAAAGTTTTTTCCGATCGGTCCATAATTGGTCATAGCTCCCATACAAGGTCCCCTCTCGAAAATCACTTAAACGCGCATAACTCATTACTAAATTAAGATATCCATATAAAATTTGGTATAAGTATTGCCCATATGCACAGAAATATTACTGTGAAAGTTTTTTCCGATCGGTCCATAATTGGACATAGCTCCCATACAAGGTCCCATCCCGAAAATCACTTAAGCGCGCATAAATCACTACTTAATTAAGATATCCATATAAAATTTGGTATAAAAATTGCCCACATGCATAGAAATATTACGGTGAAAATTTTTTTTGATCGGTTCAAAATTGGTCATAGCTCCCATACAAGGTCCCCTCCCGAAAATCACTTAAACGCGCATAACTCATTACTAAATTAAGATATTCATAGAAAATTTGGTATAAGTATTGCCCATATGCATAGAAATATTACTGTGAAAGTTTTTTCCGATTGGTCCATAATTGGTCATAGCTCCCATACAAGGTACCCTCACGAAAATCACTTAAACGCGCATAACTCATTACTACATTAGGATATCCATATAAAATTTGGTACAAGTATTGCACATATGCGCGGAAATATTACTGTGAAATTTTTTTCCGATCGGTCCATAATTGGTCATAGCTCCCATACAAGGTCCCCTCCCGAAAATCACTTAAACGCTCATAACTCATTACTAACTATAAAGTTTGGCAGAAGTATTGCTCATATACAGAGAAATATTACTGTGAAATTGTTTTCCTATCGGTCCATAATTGATCATAGCTGCTATACAAGGTGCCTTTCATTAGGAAATAGTGATACCCATAAAATATTTGGCATTAATACTATTTTTGTACACATAAATGTTATTTCAAAATTTTTTCACGATTAGTCCAACCTTGGTCATAGCTCCCATACAAGGTTCCCTCCCGAAAATCACTTAAACGCACATAATTCATTACCAAATATTGATATCATACATTTAGCAAAATTATTGCTCTTATATACATAAATTACACTATAAAATTGTTTTACGATCGGTCCATATTTGGTCATTGCTCTCATACTAGGTCCCCTCCAGAAAATCACTTAAATGCACAATATTCATTACCAAATAATGATATAGTTACAGAATTTTGAAATTTTGTTTTTATATATAATTCGTCATAGCTCTCATACAAGGTCCTTTTACGAAAATCTCTTAAACGCACATTACTCATTACCAAATAAAGCTATTGATACAAAATTTGCCACAAATATTAGTTTTGTATACAAAAATTCTATTTCAAGATTTCTCACGATCGGCTCATAACATGGGTGCGGTCGGTCCCATACAAGGTTCCCTTTCGAAAATCACTTAAACACACATTACTTATTACTAAATTACAATATATATATAAAATTTTACTGAAATATAGCTTTTATGTACAGAAATTTAGCTTAAAGAATTTTTTACGATCGGACTATAATTGGTCATATCTAGGTCCTGCCCCTGAAAGCACTTTAACCGTATTTAACTAGTTGCATTATCAATTTGTGTAGATTATATATATGTATTTTGAAATACATGCAAATTACTAAATATTGCTAAGCGCTATAAAAATATAAAGAAAATTGCGTTTGTAATGTTCAATAAATCTTGGAATTGTAATAGGTTTAAGCTGTTTAAATCTTGGGATTTTTCAATTAAAGACATGAGATAACTTATTTCTACAAATATTTGACCAATTAGAAAAGTCTTAATATAAAAGTAGCTGGTGGAGGGTATTTAAGATTCGGCTCAGCCGAATTTAGCACTCTAACTTGTTTTTTATTAATTGATACGTATATTTGTAATTTCAAATTCAGAAGAAACGGGGTTTTCACTATTGAAAAAGTTCTATTTAAAAATCCAAAAATGAACATTTTTATTAATATTTTTTTAATAAAACATGGTCCGAACTTATTTTTAACATTTCAAAAGATTTTAACTTTAGATCTGGTCTGATTTACATTATTATTAGGAAATTATTTCTTAGGTAATTCTAGCTTATTCTAAATTCCTTTAGTTTTTATACCCTCCACCACCATCCGTGGTGATGGAGGGTATATAATTTTGTCATTCCGTATGTAACACCAAGAAATATTCATCTTATTCACTCTGAGTTGATTTAGTTATGCCCGTCTGTCTGTGTTAAACATTCTTACGTTAAAACTAAGGAAGGTAAATCAATCAAATTCACCAGAAATATTTGTTATTATCCTAAGCAGTTTGGTATTGAAAATCAGCAAAATCGATTCACGACGTAAAAAGTTATGATTTCATACTACCTCGAAAAAAATTACGTTTTTTCTCAATTCTTAAGTAGTTTTCTCGGAAACTACCAAATATATTTCGATAAATTTTGTAACACATTATTTTTTTCTGCCAGGGATCAAGTTTGTTCAAAATCATAACAATTGATCCAATATTTCCCAAAGCCCATGTCCCATAGATTAGTTAATAACTCTATCAAATATATCGGTACAAACACAAAATTTTGCACTTGCAAATATAATATGGACAGAAATCATACTACCAACATAGATTTGTGTCGGTCCACAATTGGTCATAGCTCCCATATAAGGTCCATTTTCGAAGATCATCTAAATGCACATATTTCGTTGATAATAAAGCTATTGTGATAATATTCGAGTTAAACATGTTTTGTGTACAGATATGTAAATCATTCTACAAAATTTTTTTCCGTATCGGTCCATTATTGGTCATAGCTCAAATTGTCAAATAAAGCTATCATGATAAAATTCGACACAAATATGTTTTGTCTATATATGAATCACTCATATTTCAATGAATTCTAAAGCTATAGGTATAAAATTAGACTTAAATATGTTTTGTGTACAATTAGGCCCACTTAAGGCCCACTTCCGAAAATCACTTAAACGCATTTCATGAATCACTCTGCAAAATTATTTCTGGATAGGCCCATAATTGGTCACAGCTCCCATATAAGGTCCACTTCCGAAAATCACTTAAACGCATATATTTCATTGAATTCTAAAGCGGTAGGGATAAAACTCGACTTGAATATGTTTTATGTGCATATAAATCATTCTACCAAATTTTCTGGATCGGTTCATATTTGGAAATAGCTCTCATATAAGGTCCACTTCAAAAAATTACTTAAACGCCCATATTTCATTATTAAATAAAGCTATCTTGATAAACTTGAACACAAATATGTTTTGTGTACATATGAATCACTTTACGAAATTTTTCCACATAGGCCCCAAATTGGTCATAGCTCATATTTCATTAATTAATAAATCTGTTGGAGTAAAATTCGACTACTATCTCATAGTACTAACCAAAAAATAACAAAAACTCCTTTATGTTGAGATAAGTGGTTTTGTTAAACGTCCACACATATGTATGTTTATCAAATGAAAGATCTCTAAAGTATATTCTTTCGTTGTATACATATGGGCATATCCATAATGTCGAATGCGACAGTTGAACACATTTAAAGTGACAAAATGTAAAAATAAAACAAATTTTTATTTTGGCAATACGCGTTACTTATAGCTTTTAATTAGCCCTATAATTTGTTCTTAGTTTGATTTTGGGCAATTTTTCTTTTCTCTGATTATTACAAAGAACTAGGGTATTCGTACGCTACAAAAAAAAATATTTTTGTGGACAACAATTCTATCGATTTCTGCGAAACCTGCAGTGGAATTCAGTAAACTTTTTTAACAATTATTGAAACGTTTAGTGTACTAAACAAAAAATTGTCGATTTTGATATTCAGTAAAATTTTTAAACGATATTCGTTATCGTTTCGACAGCTGTTGCCGTTAGCTAAATTTTTATGTTGTTTATCCAATCGATAAAAAGTCGGGCAAGTGTGTCCCGCGAATTCTTTTGTGTATCGTGTAGGAAAGTCGTACCTATATAAAGCCATTCAAAAAATATGAAATTTTTTGGAAAAATATAAATTTTGTTTCAAAAATATTTTTTTCTGACAGAAATTAATTTTTTTTGCTGTTCTTCTTTGTGCTTTTCGTTATTTTTTACAGAGATGCCAATTGACTGTAATTTTAACAAGCAATTGTTTAAAGCTTTTAGTGAATAACTGAATCGTTACTGCAAACAATAAATATTGTCGACATTTTTAACAATTGTCGATTCGTTGAAAGTTACTGAATTCCACTACTGAGGTAGTATTTCAATGAGACTTACATACTTTAAAATGTTGTTAACTGATGTCTCCTTGATATGGTAATGGATTTTACCCAAAAATTATTTATACTTTCTTTTAATTTAATAACAATCATGTTCGAACGCGACATGTTGAACGCTACATTTTTTTCCTTTATGATATTTATGTTGCAGAATTTTCTTCATGGATGTACTGAAAAAGAACCGAAAAGTGATGATTTTAACACAGGCTTTTCATAGGAGGGATGTCCTTTTTATTTGATTCCAATTTCACTACTTCTAAAGTCATTGTAAAGAAGTATTTTTTATGCTATTTTTTGAAGTATTCGGAAGTGAAATTGTATTAATATGGAATACAATTAATTTGACTTAAATAATATTAACATTAATAAGGGTAATAGATACATTTAAAACCGAAGCCCAAAAATAAAATGTTTTATCTCGCAAAAATGTAAGAACAAAAAAAATATCTTCAGCATTAAAAAACTAGAATTATTTTCGCTTCTTCGGAAGTCATTAAGCATCACTTACACAGAAGGTAAAAAATTTCACGGATTGCTACTTTTGAAGTGGTGATAAATGTTATTCTTTTGGAAGTACTTCGCTTTGTTTTTGCTGGGATACAATAGCTTATACAAATACAAAAGATGTAAGAAAATACAGTCGTGCATGGTCGACCGATTAACATACTTAAGCAATTTATTGATAAAAATAAAATAGAGGTGTTATATGGGAACTAGGATTTAAATTTTATGGTTAGATTTACTTTTATATAAAACTCACTTATGCCTAATTTGAACATAATACTATTGTTTATAAGAGAGTTATGGCTGGGGTCAATGATTACAAAAATCGGCAAAACATGGGGGATTTGGACGCTCTATAAATCCGATAATAGGATCAAACCTAATACTGAGCCCTCTTGTGTAGGACAGGAATTGCTGGCTATACCTAAGTACTAACTTTTAAATGGTTATTTAAAAAAACACATATATTTTGTTATGTTTGTGGTTATCGAAAAATTTGATTTATAATAACGCTACTGTTTTAAATAGTTCAAACTATGATAACTATTTCTATTGAAAAACAACTGAATTATTCCTATGAAATTATAATATGTACGAGAATGTAGACATTTACCTATTCGAAACATGTGTTAGAAAAAATATTATCTTATGTGAATTGAAGTCCAAAAATTACCTTTGCATTCTTATCTAAACACAAATATCTGTATGTATAATAACAATTTTTGTTTTTGTTCAATATAATTATTTTTGCTGTAGTGAGTCATATTTGAGACGCAAAAACATTTATTTCCTTATCACTCACTGCTTTTGGAACATATGATCGATTAATAAATCGAATCAGCAAATACAAACACTGGAAGCGAGTCACTGGAATGTGATTTTCTTTTCGTATGTATTATCAGAATAAAAACAAAAATATTTGTTTAAGGCTAATAAAAATATGAAAATCAGTTTATTACACAGTGTATTTTGGATAATTTGACGTTTCGCTTCGTTCAAAACATCCAGGTAAAAAAATTTTTTTAACGCGACGTACAGAATTGAATTCTGTTAAAACAATCACTATGCCACCACCACCATACTATGAGGATCCATATCGCCATCGTCATCATCATCACCATCATCGTCCAGGTATCGAGATTGATATTGTTCCCGGTTGGAATCGTCCATACTATCCTCCACCTCCCCCGCCTCGCACTGAAGTGGTGGTCGTAACACCAGCCGCAACTTATCCCGGTGCCCCCTGTCAAGGTCCATATTATAATAACGGTGCTTACTACAACAACAATGGAGCATATAATAATGGATGTAATTATGGTTATAACAATCCTCCCTATCCCCGTTGGTAACAAGTGTTCGTTCGTTCAAAAATGTTAAAAAAAGTTTATTTAAAAACAGAACAATTTTTACTAATTAAAAAAAATATTTATTTAATTATTTATTTATATTTTGTTAAAACCAGAGTTTAAATATTAGTAGATGCTTTTATATTTTTATTTTTGACTTTGCAATAAATATGCATTTACCTCATATTTAAAAATATGCATATTTAAAAAATGGTTCTGTTCAAAATATTTCTAGTATTTTTGCTAAAAATATTTACCCATACAAACTATTGCATATTACAGCTTACAGACAAATATAAAATGTTTTCACTTACAATATATTACGCAGCAACTCGCTAACATATTTATAATACCCACATATATTTCATATGGCTTGCCTATAATATTAAAATATTTTCCTACACAAATTATTCGCAGTCAACAATATTGAAGCCATGCGAGCAGTAATATACGAACATGAAATGTACGCAAGCAGAGCATATATGTGCCGACGAAAACACGAAACAAAACGATAGTCGCGACTATCAGGTTACAATATTTTTACTATCAAACTTAAATATTATTTACTATAGGAAATGACTTATGGTCTAAAATTTAACATTTCATGTTGAACTTGAAAAATTATAAAATATGAAAAATGTATGCAAGATATAACCAAATTTTATTTAGAAAATAATTGAAAACGTTTATATCTATGTATGTTTTATGTATATTATGGGAAAAATGTATGCATGAAATAACCAAATTTTAATTAGAAAATTTTTGTATTGAATTATTGAATGTATGTATTTATTAAATTTATGTTTAATTTTTATGTGGAGTATTAAAATGTATGTATTTGTATTGATTGTAATATAATTAGAAAAAAATTATATAAATACTTAGAGGATCATATGAATGTAAAAATATATTCAAATATGTATATATGTAAAAAATTGTTTTTACAGGCTATATTTAAACATATTGTTTGTAACAGGATGACAATAAGTTTGTAAACAGGTAGTAATGCATAAGTAGTGTCTATGAAATGATCAATAATGAAGGAAATTATAGGTATTTTAGAAATTTGTAACAGGATAGCAAAAAATTAAGAGGGGACATAAAAACATAAAAATTTGTTTTTGTAATTTTACATTGTGAAAGGTTAAAACAACAAAAATGTATGAGTGTATTACATACATATACAAGTATGTTTTTCATATGCATGTGTCACATTTCTATAAATTATTATTACATACACTCAATTATCTTACAATAATGAATGAACAGGCGCGAAGAAAAAAATATATAGGTGTTAATAAATTTGCATATGCCATTGCCAACCTTTTGAATTTGCATGAGAGAGACTAAATAATAATGATATTTCTTTCCTCTTCTCCCCACCACAAATTCAAGTAAAGCAAAAAAAAAGGATCTTGCGTAAACCATCGTTAAGGAATGTGCGTAAAATGATAAAGTAGGAAGAGAATTTCTACTACAGGTCATTTTTATGACGAATGTATTTTTGCATCACACGTACATATCTTCTTCCCTCCACCAATTCAGGGAAAAAATGACCTATCGTAATCCACCGTTATGGAATGTGCGTGAAAAGTAGGAAAGAAAAGTGCTGTTACAGGTCATTTTTATGACGAATGTGTTTTTTGTTATTGTTTCACACATACTTACATACATACATATGTATATACAAAACCAGATATAAATGGTGTTGCATATTTGAATATATTTTTACATTCATATGATCCTCTAAGTATTTATATAATTTTTTTCTAATTATATTACAATCAATACAAATACATACATTTTAATACTCCACATAAAAATTAAACATAAATTTAATAAATACATACGTTCAATAATTCAATTCAAAAATTTTCTAATTAAAATTTGGTTATTTCATGCATACATTTTTCCCATAATATACATAAAACATACATAGATATAAACGTTTTCAATTATTTTCTAAATAAAATTTGGTTATATCTTGCATACATTTTTCACATTTTATAATTTTTCAAGTTCAACATGAAATGTTAAATTTTAGACCATAAGTCATTTCCTATAGTAAATAATATTTAAGTTTGATAGTAAAAATATTGTAACCTGATAGTCGCGACTATCGTTTTGTTTCGTGTTTTCGTCGGCACATATATGCTCTGCTTGCGTACATTTCATGTTCGTATATTACTGCTTGCATGGCTTCAATATTGTTGACTTCGAATAATTTGTGTAGGAAAATATTTTAATATTATAGGCAAGCCATATGAAATATATGTGGGTATTATAAATATGTTAGCGAGTTGCTGCGTAATATATTGTATGTGAAAACATTTTATATTTGTCTGTAAGCTGTAATATGCAATAGTTTGTATGGGTAAATATTTTTAGCAAAAATACTAGAAATATTTCGAATGGTAGCAATTAAATATATTATATTCATAAAATATATTTATATTTTAATATTACATACGTATGCATAGGAGAAAATATGCATTTTGGTTACTAATATATTAGTAATTTTAATCACTGGTTAAAACAATAAATATATTGAAATTACTATAATTTATGATGTTTAAATTGGTTGCATACAAATGTATGTATACTTTGTATGGACACTAAAGTAATAAAAAAAAAGTTTCGAATGTCTCCTCGCCCCCCTTGAGGTTGTAAAATGATATGCAAGAAAATAAGCCAATAGGATACGTTAACAGGTGCCGCAACGTCTCTGATGTTTTGAGGTGCATTTACAAGGGGAAAGTCTTTTTTTTTAATTTTAGCTAAAATGTTGCCATTGCAAAAAACAATTTTTGAGATAATTTGATGAAATTTGGAACGTAAGCATCTTTTGTTCCAAGGACGAACGCTATTGAAAATGGTTGCAATCGGTGGATTATTTCACCTAGCCCCCATACTACCGGATCGAATAAAGCTTTTGCCCTCATAATTATGTTAAATGCTTAACTATCTCTACAAAATTTGGCAAAATTCAGTTTAATATAAGTTTTAATAATTCTAGCAATTTTAGTAAAGAGCGGGCGTTATTTGACCCTAGTCCCCATACAAAATCCGCTTCAGAAAATGAATTGAATGTCCACAATTCAATTATAAACACTAGTATCTCGATGAAATTTGGCACAAAAAAGTTGTATATAAACATAAGCTTCGCCAAATTTTATAAGGATTGGCCAAAGTTTTGCCTCTATATAACCGGACTTTCCGATTTGGGCCTTTTAGCTCATAATGTGTAATTTAGTTTGAGATAATTATAAATAACACTGTCGATTTTCGTGATGATAGGGCCTCATTTGTCCCTAGCCGCTATACAAAGTCCCCTTCTGAAAATGACTTAAATGACCACATATTCGTAGTATCACTTAGAAATTTGGCACAAATAAGTTTTATATAAACATAATTCCCAATAATAAATTTTATAAGGATCGGCTCAATTTATGCACTAGCCCCCATACAACCGGACCTTTCGATTTGGAACTTTTATCTCCTAACTATAATACTATGTCGAATTTGTTAAAATTTGTCACATACTCTTCTCTGGATCTAATGACGAAGGCTGTTCAAAATTATTGAAATTCGTATTTTATTTCTCCTAGTCAGCATACAACCGTAAATGAGAAGACATTATTTGGAACCTATGTAAGATTCAACATAAATGCTTTATTATTTAAAATGAATCACATTTACTATTCGCAATTGGAGTAGGGTATCATATGGATGGCCACGCCCGACTATAGTTTATTACTTTTTTTGCTATGTATTTTTGAATTGATTGACAGTTGTAGGTGATCATGTGCGGCCAAAAATCAATTTATGATCCGAAATTTGATGAAATTTAAAATATAACTACTACTTGATATGATCTACAACAATACGCTTATGTAGATATGTGGGTTACCTCTTTACCTTCAAGAGATATTTTGGTTTAATTTTTTTTTTAATTTTCCCGATAATTTTATACTCTCCACCACCATCAATGGTGATAAATACGCTCATTGTAAAATTAAGCAACGGAAATCATCCATATGTTCACTATGTTCCTAAGCAGTTTGGTATAAAAAAATTCAAAAAAATCGGTTCACAACGTAAAAAGCAACGAGTAAACATTTTAGACTCCTTCCTAATTCTCGAGTAGTTTTTTCAAAAACTACCAGAGATAATTCTATGAATTTTGTCACATATTATTTATTATAAATATGTTTTTTGTGTTCTCTACCAATTATTTCCGGATCGGTCTATAATTGTTCATGCAAAATGCACTTATGAAAATCATATATTTCATTCATAAATAACAATATCGAAAAAAAATTTGCATAAATAAGTTTTTTCTATATAAAAATCACTTTGGAAGTTTTTTTTGTCTCCCATATAAGGTCCATTTCCAAAAATTATTTTGACGAACATATTTCATTGACAAAATAGATATGACTATAAAAATTGACATGAGTATATTTTGTGTACATATATACAAATCATTCTGAAAAAAAAATTTTCGAATGAATTCATAATTGGTCATAGCTCTCATATAAGGTCAACTGTCTTAAGTAACTAAATCTCATATATCCTATGTTTTCGCATACATAGCCCCCATACAAGTGGCTCCCGAAAAATAGTGTAAACAGTCACAGCTAGTTTAAAAACATCAGTATGTCAATGAAATTCACACAAACAAGTTTTATATGAACCAAAATCTACCTACTAAATTTTATGAGAATCGGTCCATAATAGACCCTACCCACTATATAAGGTCCCTCTCAGAAAACGACAGAAAATAACTTTATATTTATAACTTGCTTCAAAATGATAGAAAAGCAACGAAATTCGACGTAAACAAGTTTTTAGGGAACTAAAATATCTCTCCCATATTTTATGGAGATCGGCCCATAATTGTTCCTATCCCCCATAGAAATCTCCTACTCTTATATTAATTTTCCTATTTTAAATCGTAAAATTATGGTTTGAAATGTTAATGTTCGTTTTAGTCGAAACATTTTAAATATTTTTGAAAAATAACATTGAAAACTAAAATTTATGTTTATAATTTACAGGTCTATATTAAAGTCGTACCAATTCGAGTAAAAAATTTGGAAAAGATAACACAGAAATCAAAATTTTACATAATTTTCAAAACATAAAAATTATAATATTTAAAAAAATATATTTTTAGTTAAAAAATATCTTACATTTGATGGGTTCTAAACAGAATCTCCAAGGGCTTTTAGAAACATGTTACAAGAATATGAAAAATAAATTAGTTGTAAAGCTATGCGACTAGTTTTCCTGTACGTTATAATTCTTTCGAAGTGAGTATTAGTATACTAATAATTCAACAATATTGCAAAATTTGACCTTTGACATCCACCTTTTATGGCTTAGGATTGCTTGATTTGAATAAAACTTCGGATATATAAAATATTATTTTTTGTCTCATTTCGCATTCAAGGGCGAATGGCTTGGGAAATTAGCAACAATTATATATCTGAAATGCTTATTCTATGTACATTACGATTCTTTTACAATTAAGTGCAAAATAAATTAGATCCTTTGCGGTACATGTTAACGTTATCGTATCAGCCTAATTTTTAGCATGATACAGTTTTACAACCCATAAGAACGATTCTAGCTCTATTAGTTTCCCAGATAAACGAATTATTGTATATTTATGCATATGGGATGTTGCTCCCCCCACCCATTGGTAGTCCGCCAATTTATTACACAAAATGTTTACATGGATGCTAAAGTACTTTGTGCTAAATTTGGTTCTACCTCTAATAGTTTCTCAGATAAGCGAATTTTTGTATTTAACTCATATGGGGGTGCCACGCCCCCTATTGCTAATTAATTTTTCTTAAGTAATCATATTGATATTAAAGTGGTTGCGGTAAAATTTGAGGACTCTATCTGTTGTATTTTCTCAGATATTTTGATATAAGATTTTCTTCATATGGAAGGTGCCACGCCCACTACAGCCATTCCGCCCATTTTATCCGAAAATATTCTTATAGATGTCAAAGTTGTCCATACAAAATTTGAGGACTCCAACTCTTGCAGTTTCTGAGATATGCCACTTTTAATACTTATTCTGAATGTAACCGTGGTACGTCGCCCACTTGAAATTTTGAAGTAAAAAGTAGCCTATAGTTCCTTTCAGACATACAGGAAGACACTGTGAAAATTTCAGAAGAATCGGTTCAGCCGTTTAGATAAACGTTTAAATAAACAAACAAAAAAAAAAAACAAACATACAAATACACATTCATTTTTATATATATGTATACAGATGAGGGGTGCCACTCCGTCTTTTGCTAGTCCTCCAATTTTTCCACCAAATAATCATATGGATCTCAAAATTGTCCGTAAAAATTTGAGGACTCTAGTTGTACCATGTTCCGAGATATTCGACTTTTGAAGAATATATAGGGGAACATACACTGAAAAAAAACAGATATAGGGGAACATACACTGAAAATTTCAAGAAGATCGCTTCACTGGTTTAGCTTCTTATAAGGTACAAACAAATAAAGAAACATACATTGAATTTTATATATATAGATAGATAATGTTTGCATATAATTAGATGTTTTCAAGCTATAGTGGATTATTTTTTATAGAAACGATATTTTTAAATCTATATAATTTTAAAACCGATTAGATTATGTTATTTATAACTTTTCTCTCGAATGTTAGCTAAAAATTATTATAAAAATATTATTTTAAATCCTAAATTATTTTGTTAAATATCAGTTTTGCTAATTTAAATTTATTTTTTTATTTTTTTTTAATTGTTAAAAATTTGGAAGAACGTTTTCTCCAATATATTGATTACCAACGAGGACGATTATCCCAATGTTCTGGAGGTGGTTGATATCCTTGAGATACAACAACAACTTCTCGTGGTGGTGGTGGACGTGGCTGAGGTGGTGCCACATATACAATTTCTGTTGGTCTTTGTTGTGGAGCAATAATTACTTCTGTAGTTACACGAGGTGGTGGTGGAGGACGAGCAGAAGGACTCACGATATCTACTTCAATAATAGGACGGTTGTGATGATGGTGGTGATGATGATGTGGTTCATCCCAATGAGGTGCCATTTGGTTTGTTATACGCAATTAATGCCAGCAAAAGTACAACGAATTTAAAAATATTATCAATAATTTTTCAATTGATTCCGCAATTAGTTTTTAATACAATGAAGTCCGCAACTAAACTGTGAATTTTCGCTAAAAATTTTATCAATTTAAATAAATACTTAAGCTTGTTTTTGTTGTTTTATCATTGATGTCGCTAAAATACTAAGGCGGGTGGACTTAACGATACGTCATGTTTTATCTTGTCAAAGTAGTTTTTATTCAAAATAAATGGACAAAAATAGATAATGAAGTTATAAATTTCACAACAATTTATTTACACATTTGCAGGAAAATGAACGAACATATTTTAACAGGTGAAAAAAAGTAGCTAACGACAGTCATGGTGGTAAATACATATGTAAATGTATGTATGTTGGCATAGTATACACTATTATTTTTTCGCTGTTGTTAAAAAAGTTCGCACACCAAATGTCGTTTGTGACACCGAAAACTTTAGAGTTATTTAAAAAATCATCTGAAAGGGACTTTTTCGATTAAATATCTTTTAAATTTTAAAGACATTATCTTACATCTAATGCACATACTTAACATAAACTTAGTTATGACCCTACAAAAAATATAGGCGGTAATATCATGGCCACGTCCACTTTATTTGCTGGTTTTGAGAACCCCCTTTCGATCATTGGAGTTTTATTAAAATCATTTGTTATTAATATTACGACTACTTCGACTACTTATTACAAGCATTCTGATCTTATAAGTGCTCATTAAGTTTGTCTGTTTTTAAATTATTGCTTTTTATTGAACCCAAGAATAACAAAATTAGCACTAACATATGAAGTGGGCATGGACATGATATAACCTCCCCTTTTTCTGTGAGATTGTTCTAACTCTTATTGTGAACTTATAGACTTAATATGAACTCTATACTTCTAAAATTAGACTTGATCGAACCAGAATGTACTAAATTCGCTTAATGTAATCAATAAACATGTTTATATATATAATTTTGTTATACCCACCATCAAAATATTGATTTTGTCACTCCGTTTGTAACACATCGAAATTTTGGTCGTAGACCCACAAAAGTATATATATTCTGGGTCCTTATTAAATTCTAAGACGATATAGCCATGTCTGTCCGTCTGTCTGTCCATCCGTCCGTCCGTCTGACTATTGAAAGCACGATAGGGTTCGAACGGAAAGAGCTAGAGACTTACTGCCTTATTCATAAACATTTATCAAAGGTTTATAGAACAAATTTTGTATGAAAATTTGATTTATAAACCTTTGATAAAAGTTTATGAATAAGACCCTTACAATTTCCCAAAAATATTCCTTATAGATAAGATTTGTTTGGTATTGCAAATCGGCAATATCGGTCCACGATTTCGCATAGCGCCATTACAAGTGGCCCGCGAAAAACAGCTTTAACAGTCATAAATGATGAAATTCAACATAAATAAGTGTTATATGCATAAAAATCTCTCTGCCAAATTTTGTGAGGATCGGTCCATAATTGACCCTACCCCGCATATATGGTCCCCTTCAGAAAATGACATTAATACTCATTACCGGCTTAGAAATACTAATATAGCGATGAAATTCGACATAAATAAGTTTTTTATAAGCCAAAATCGCTCTACCAAATTTTATGGGAAACGGTCCATCATTGCTGGCTTAAAAATACGAGTATCGCTTTGAAATTCGACATAAATAAGTTTTATATGCGTCAAAATCTCTCTACAAAATTTTATGAGGATGGGTCCATAATTGACCCTACCCGCATATAAGGTCCCCTTCAGGAAATAAACAAATATATAGTAATGAAACTCGACACAAATATGTGTTATATAAGCCAATATCTCTCTACCAAATTTGTAAGGATCGGTCCATAATTGATCCAACCCCCATATAAGGTACCCTTGAGAAATTTACTTCAATGTTAATTACTGGCTTAAAAAACTATGAATTTTGACATAAACAAGTTTTGTATTAATGAAAATCGCATTAAAAATATTATGAGGATCAGTCCACGATTGAACCTACCCCTCATATATATAGCCACCATGAGAAAATTACAAGTTCTTCATCGTTGTACTCGCCATAAAAAGAATTTTATTATAATTCTTCATTCCGAATTTTATGAGGACTAGTCTATAGCTGACCATAGCCGATAAAACATAATCTATGTACAAATTTTTTGGGTATTGATTCATAATTATCCCTACCACTTAAAAGGTCCCCTTCAGATAGTTACTTTTACGCTTATGACTGAATTTAAAATACGAGAACAGCAATGAAATTCGAAACGAATAAGTGTTATACGACTTCAAATCTTTCTACCAAATTCTACGACAAACACTCCATAATTGACCCTACCTCCCATATAAGCCTTATCTCCCTCTTGTTTACAATAGAACATTCATTTTACGGCATACGATTTGATGGGGGGTATATAAGATTCGGCATAGCCGAATATAACACTTTTACTTGTTAAAATTGTTTCCACCTTAAACATTTATTTATAAAAAGTACCTTTTATTTAATGACTAATATATGATACGTCACATACAAAAGCTCTTATTTATAATAAATATAAAATATTAAATTATTAAAAGTAATATAAAACAAGTTAGAGTGCTATATTCGGCTGAGCCGAATCTTAAATACCCTCCACCAGCTACTTTTATATTAATACTTTTCTAATTGATCAAATATTTGTAGAAATAAGTTTTCTCATATCTTAAATAGAAAAATCCCTAGATTCAAACAGCTCAAATCTATTACAATTCCAAGATTTATTGAACATTACCAACGCTTGGCGATTTTTATCAATTTGCATGTATGCATGTGTGTGAAAGATTTAAGGATTTTCGAAATACATATATATATAATTTTGTTCTACACAAATTGATAATGTAACTAGTTAAATACGGTTTTAGGGGCAGGACCTAGTATGGGAGATATGACCAATTATAGACCGATCGTAAAAAATTCTTTAAGCAAAACTTCTGGACATGAAAGCTATATTTCAGTAAAATTTTGTAGCTATATCGTAATTTAGTAATAAGTAATGTGTGTAATGAACCGATCGTGCAAAAATCTTGAAATAGAATTTTTGTATCAATAGCTTTAATTATTAATGAGTAATGTGCATTTAAGAGATTTTCGAAAGAGGACCTTGTATAGGAGCTATGACCAATTGTGTATATAAAAACAAAATTTCACAATTCTGTATCTGTATCATTATTTGGTAATGAATATTGTACATTTAAGTAATTTTCTGGAGGGGGCCTAGTATGAGAGCTATGACCAAGTATGGACCGATCGTAAAACAATTTTATAGTGTACTTTATGTATATAAGAGCAATATTTGTGCTAAATGTATGGATATCAATATTTTGTAATGAGTTATGTGCGTTTATGTGATTTTCGGGAGGGAACCTTGCATGGGAGCTATGACCAAGGATGGACCGATAAGAAAAAAATTTTACAGTAACATTTCTGTGCATATGAGCAATACTTGTACCAAATTTTATATGGATATCTTAATTTAGTAATGAGTTATGCGCGTTTAAGTGATTTTCGGGAAGGGACCTTGTATGGGAGCTTTGACCAATTATGGACCGATCAGAAAAAAATTTCTCAGTAAAATTTCTGTATGTGAGAGTAATACATGTACCAAATTTTATATGGATATCTTAATTTTGTAATGAGTTATGCGCGTTTAAGTGACTTTAGGGATGGGACCTTGTGTGGGAGCTATGACCAATAATGGACCGATCGAAAAAAAAAAAAATTCACAATAATATTTCTATGCACATGCGTAATACTTGTACCAAATTTTATATTGATGTCTTATGTTAGTAATGAGTTATGCGCGTTTAAGTGATTTTCGGGAGGGGACCTTGTATGGGAGCTATGACCAATTATGGACCGACGAAAAAAAAATCACAGTAATACTTCTGTATGTGAGGGCAATACTTGTACCAAATTTTATATAGATAACTTGATTTAGAAATGAATTATTTGCGTTTAAGTTATTTTCGGGAGGGGACCTTGTATGGGAGCTATGTCCAATTATGGACCGATCCAGAAAATTTTTTCTCTGAATGAATATTGACATAAGATTTTAATTTGTAAAATTTTCTAAAGATTTCGACATCGTGACGGAAGTTATTAACAAAAAAACCCATTTTTCGGGAATATGTACTTTTGTATGGGAAGTATATGAAATTGTGGACCGATTCTGACAATTTTCAGTAGGAGTCAAGCTCTTGTGTAGAAACGAATGTATGCTGATTTTCATGGAATTATCTTTCATAGTTTTCGAGAAAATTACATCAGAATGTATAAAAAATGCTTATTTTTTTCGAGGTTGTTTCAAATTTTGATTCATAACTTTTCCCGGTGTTAACCGATTTTGCTCATTTTCAATACCAAACTGCCTAGGACAATAATAAATATTTTGGGTGAATTTCGTTAATTTTTGTTTCTTCGTGTTAACGTGAGAATGTTTTATACAGACAGACAGACGGACGGAGGACGGACATAGCTAAATCGACTCAGAATTTCATAAGGTCCAAGAATATATACACTTTGTTGGGTCTCAGATGAATATTTCTTGGTGTTACACACGGAATGACAAAGTTATATATACCCTCTATCACCACTGATGGTGGTGGAGGGTATAACAAGTAAGAGTGTTATATTCGGCTATGCCGAATCTTATATACCCACCATCACCTCGTTTGACTCGAATGAAACCTACTTATGTCGAATTTCATCTATATACTCGTATTTTTAGGCCAGTTATGAGCGTTAAAGTAATTTTCTGAAGGGGACCTTATAAAGAGGGGTAGGGTCATTTATGGGTCGATCCTCATAAAATTTGGTAGACAGAATTGGGTGCATATTAAATTTATTTGTGTCGAATTTCATCGCTACACTCGTATTTTTAAGCCATTAATGAGCGTTGCAGTCATTTTTTGAAGGGGACCTTATATGGGGGGGATGGTCCGATCCTCATAAATTTTTTTAGATAGATTTTGACTCGTATGAAACTTACTTATGTCGAATTTCATCTTTATACTAGTATTTTTAAGTCATTAATGAGCGTTAAAGTCATTTTCTG